TCTCCAGGTTTTGGTATCAGGATGATGCTGGCCCCATAGAATGAGTTAGGGAGGAGTGCCTCCTCCTCAATTCTTTGGAATATTTTCAGTAAGAATGCTACCAGCTTTTCTTTGTACATCTGGTAAATTCAGCTATTAATCCATCTGTTTCGGGGTTGTGTTTTTTTAATTTATTTTTATTTATTTATTTTTTTTGGTAGGTAGGCTACTTATTAATGCCTCAATTTCAGAGTTCATCATTTGTCTGTTCAGGGATTCAATTTCTTCCTAGTTAAGTCTTGAGAGGGTGTATTTGTCAACAAATTTGTCTATTTTGTGTTGATTGTCTAATTTATGTGCATGGAGGTTTTCATAATATTGTATATGTGGGGTCAGTGGTAACATCCCTCTGTCGTTTCTGACTAATTCTATTTTCAGTTTATACTCAGACTAATATAAATAAAGGAAAAGACAGCACCTAATACTGTAAAGCAAAATTATCTAGAATTATCCAATTTGCAAATTTTTATGTGGGGCTAGCTCATGCTCTTCTAGAAGTCAGTGATGATTACATTGCCTGCCCCTGTAAATTGGGCAAAAACTTTTACAAATGTTCCTGGTATTGCTGGTGCTTTTCTTTTCTTTTTCTTTTCTTTCTTTCTTTTTTTTTTTTTTTTGAGACAGAGTCTCATTCTGTCACTCAGGCTGGAGTGCAGTGACGTGATCTCAGTTCACTGCAACCTCCACCTCCCGGGTCCAAGCGATTCTCCTGCCTCAGCTTCCTGAATAGGTGGGATTACAGGCACCCGCCTCCACGCTGGGCTAATTTTTTCATTTTTAGTAGTGATAAGGTTTTACCATGTTGCCCACGCTGGTCTCGAACTTCTGACCTCAGATGATCCACCCACCTCGGCCTCCCCAAGTGCTAGGATTATAGGCGTGAGCCACCGCGCCAGGCTAGCTGGTGCTTTTCTATGCATTTAAAAATAGATTATTTCAGTGAAACTCTATTTTCCTGATTTCTACCTTCAAGCCTACGAACCCCACACACCTTAACTAGTAGCACCCATTAATCCCACCGGTTACAGCGTCTTCCAGGTAGCTTTCTCCTAAATTGTATCATTGGGTTAGGCCCTCACTTCCAGCATCTAAGCACTCTAAATGATCACAATGCTGTCTTTGCCACTAGGCTCTGAGCATTTACCTGGTTCACTGATTAGCATAGAGCTTTGAAATTCAGGATTCTGTATTTAGCACACAGCCCTAGACTTCTGCTATGCAGTAAGTATTTATTAAATTTTATGATTCATCCAACTGTTAAAAATAAGAAGATCTATCACTAATACTTCAAAATATTTGAGCTTACCCAGAAAGTAAGTTCCCAGAAATGAAATTTAGCTTTGTTTCCATAATCAGATTTGTGATTCAGGAATAGGCCAGAGAAGTTGGATTGATATTATGCATAAAAACATAAAAAGAGACTCAAAGGGTAAAGGAGATTTCTCTATGGCTCTGTCTTACCTTTTCCACATCACCCAGGCCCTCCGTGTCCAGAAGGACCAGGGTGTGGTTTGACTTAGAGGGGTGGGGCACACACCACATCCAGATGCCTTTGGTTTCAGACTTCACTGTGCAGCCCAGAGGGAAGCCTTCAAGGGAAGAGGAGAAACAACATATAGTGACAGCAGAATCCAGGCAGACAAGGCCTAAACCGGTTAAATGTATAGGAATGTAAGTTTCCGGCAGGGGAAATGGGTTGCTTCCATTTCAGCAAAGAAATCAATCAAATCTTTATTTATATACATGACTTTCTCAGAAGGTACTTGGGTCCCCTATTCACTTCATATCTAAGCATAGGCTCAAATAAGTTATATTACAGAATTAATGTAAACTCTATTAACCTGTTACTATGGTCTGAACGTTAATCCCTCCAATCCCCCATTCATACGTTGGAACTTTAGTGAAGTCCGAAACCAAAGCCCAAGATGATGATATTAAGAAGTCAGAAGTGGGGTGGGTGCAATGGCTCACACCTGTAATCCCAACACTTTGGGAGTTCGAGGCAGATAAATCACGAGGTCAGGAGATAGAGACCATCCTGGCCAACATGGTGAAAGTTTGTCTCTGCTAAAATACAGAAAATTAGCCGGGCATGGTGGTACACACCTGTAGTCCCAGCTACTTGGGAGGCTGAGGCCAGGGAATCACTTGAACCCGGGAGGCGGAGAGATTGCAGTGAGCCGAGATTGCGTCACTGCACTCCAGCCTGGCAACAGAGTGAGACTCTGTCTCAAAATAAAAAAGAAGTCAGAAGTGATTAAGTCATGAAAGGTCATGTCCTCAGTAATAAAGTTAATGCCCTTATAAAAGGCCTTGAGGGATGAGTTCATGTCCTTTGCAGGGACACAGATGAAGCTGGAAATCATCATTCTCAGCAAACTAACACAGGAACAGAAAACCAAACACCACATGTTCTCACTCATAAGTGGGGGTCAAACAATGGGAACACATGGACACAGGGAGGGGAACATCACACACCGGGGGCCTGTTGGGGGATGGGGGCTAGGGGAGGGATAGCATTAGAAGAAATGCCTAATGTAGATGACAGGTTGATGGGTGCAGCAAATCACATGGCACGTGTATAACTATGTAACAAACCTGCACTTTCTGCACATATAATCCTGGACTTAAAGTGTGTATGTATGTGTGTGTGTTTATATATATAAAATATATTTATAAATATATATTTATATATTTATATTTAGTAATATTTATATATAAATATATTTATAAATATATATATATATATAAAAAGATCTTGAGAGAATTTGATTGTTCCTTCTGCCCCTTTTGCCATTTGGGGACAGTGGGAAACCCCCTCTGTGAGTAACAAGCCCTCACTAGACATTGAATCATCTTGTACCTTAATCTTGGACTTCCCAACCTCCAGATCTGTGAGAAATTAGTTTTTATTATTTACAAATTACCCTGTGTAATGTATTTTGTCCTAGTGGCAGACACAGACTAAGACACCTGTGTATTTTTATGCAACGCTCAAGAGGAAGAAAAAAGCATGCATTCATAAGTAAAATTAGGGAGAGGGCTGAGACAAGAGGTCCAAGTGCTGGGCTCATCTTCATGTAGTGACTCTTTTTCCTTATGCGGGTGCCACCTGAACAGAAGGATATCCAAATGGAGGAGATTCTGACATGGAAAGGACAGTATAAAGCATCCACTCTAGTATGGTCTGTTGAAATGGTTTCCAGGAGTGGAGTAGTGAGAATAAAATCTTGAAATTTAGTTGAGGAATCTGTGATTTGAACTCCTGAGTATGTAGCCAAGTAGACCAGATTTGTTAGTAATGGAACCCACTGAAGTGTTTCAGATGGATGATGACAAAAATCAGCAAAATATTTAAGAAAATCCATGAGGTATTAGAATACTGCAGGAATTAAAAAGTTATACCTTGGACTAGTAAAAGAGTTCTAGAATTTTAAAGGCTGAAAGTGTGAAAGTTGTCAGCATCAAAATGCCAAACTTGAATGCAATGAAGTCAGCAGACCATGAAGGAAAAGCTCTCGTGCACACTTTCCTGTGATGGGAACTGCCAATGAAGATGTTGCCAATCCACAACCTCACGACAAAGGCTAATATTCTGAGGACATCTTTCCAGTAATAGCCAGTCTTAACTGTAAACTTCAAGTGGTCTAACTTGCAGTCAGAGTCCCTGCAATCAGGGTCCCTTCTGTGAAGACTCTCTCTTAGCAACAGCCAGTACACATATTAAGTCCTGTGAGTAAGCTCCTGTAAACAAATAAACTTTTGTTTCAAAACACCATGCGTGTACTTCTCCTTTTTATCTTTGAAGTTTCCCACTGTCTCAACCAAACTATGATTTATTAGAGTGTGCACACCTGAATTGGTATGCATATGGTCCCCTGCTCATTCTTAAATAAACTCATTCCTTTGGAGAGCTACTTTCTCTGTTGTTACTTTAGCTTGGCATAATCTGGCATCAGAAGTAGGATGTAAAGTGAGCTCATCTTGGAATGATCAGCAGCCCCTGAAACCATGAGTGGTATTCCCTTGTTGACCCTTTGATCTCTTCGTTTCCACATCTGAGCTTTTCTACTGTGTTGAGTCTCCCCTTGGGTTAAAATCCCTTCTTTTTGTCTGGTTCAGGATCTTATTTGGATAAGGTTACCTCAATAAAAAGCCTTGAATTCCTTCTTAGCCTAAAAACGACTTTGTCTTTTCTGGCAAGCCCTTCATGAGATAAGAACATTGTCCTTCTGGTGAGTACTTTTTTTTTTTTTTTACTTCTGCATGCCTGGTTTAATATTTTGTTTGGTCTGCCTGCCTGATTTAAAATTTTGGTGAATTGAGTATTTTCTTACTTCTGAACATCTGCCAAGAGCAAAAATAAATGTACCAAACAGTAGGCATGGGTTGACCAATTTAAACCAGTTAAGGCAGTGCCATCATTAATGAGGGACTCCAGTCTCTGAAGATGAAGTATTTTGTGTGAAGGTAAACGGGCCATGGATAGGCAAGGTTACTATTAGAGCCTCTGCCACACTTAAGAAAATTTCCATGCAACAGGGAAAATGTGGTCATGGGTTGGACAACAAAGGCAATGATTGTCCACCAACTAAAGCAAATACCCTGGACCGGGTACATTGTAAAACAAAACACCAGTCCAAACTTCTGACATTCCCAACCAGATTCATAGGATTTTATTTTTTTCTCTTCAGAGATTAATGAGAAACAAAATAAGATACCCAAATTTAAAGGCATGCCAGAATAATCTTTCTTCCGGGACTCTGGCCAGCTGTATTTATGGTCCATCTCATGCACACTTCTCAATTGATGGGAAATTACACCAAAAGTAATTTAGAATTACAATGGCCATTATGTGGAACATTCCAGATGAACTTTCAAGAACTGCATTTTAAGAAGAACATTTAAAATTGGAAGGTGTGTGTCTCTGCAGAGCCAGGAGGGGAAGGGATGGCTCTCCAAGGTCTCTCCGCTGCTGGGGATATTCCACAACCCAAAACAGGTGGCCAGAGGTTTTACTGGTGTTGTTCAGCCAGTGACTTTAATTCCAGGAGATGGTATTGGCCCAGAAATTCCAGCTGCAGTTATGAAGATTTTTGATGCTGCCTAAGCACCTATTCAGTGGGAGGGGTGGAACGTCACTGCCATTCAAGGACCCAGAGGAAAGTGGATGATCCCTTCGGAGGTTAAGAGTCCATGGATAAGAACAAGATGGGCTTGAAAGGCCCTTTGAAGACCCCAATAGCAGCCAGTCACCCATCTATGAATTTACCGCTGCGCAAAACATTTGACCTTTACACAAATGTCCAACCATGTGTCTCTATCGAAGGCTATAAAACCCCTTACACCGATGTAAATATTGTGACCATTCGAGAGAACACAGAAGGAGAATACAGTGGAAATGAGCATGTGATCATTGATGGAGCTGTGCAGAGTATCAAGCTCATGACGGAGGGGGTGAGCAAGCCCATTGCTGAGTTTGCCTTTGAGTATGCCCGGAACAACCACCGGAACGTCACGGCGGTGCACAAAGCCAACAAAGCCAACATCATGCGGATGTTAGACACGCTTTTTCTACAAAAATGCAGGGAAGTTGCAGAAAACTGTAAAGATATTAAATTTAATGAGATGTACCTTGATACAGTATGTTTGAATATGGTACAAGATCCTTCCCAATTTGATGTTGTTGTTATGCCAAATTTGTATGGAGACATCCTTAGTGACCTGTGGGCAGGATTGATCGGAGGTCTTGGTGTGACGCCAAGTGGCAACATTGGAGCCAATGGGGTTGCAATTTTTGAGTCGATTCATGGGATGGCTCTAGACATTGCAGGCAAGGACATTGCAGGTAAGGACATGGCGAATCCCAGAGCCCTCCTGCTCAGTCCTGTGATGATGTTGCGCCACATAGGACTTTTTGACCATGCTGCAAGAATTGAGGCCGCGTGTTTTGCTACAATTAAAGATGGAAAGAGCTTGACAAAAGATTTGGGAGGCAATGCAAAATGCTCAGACTTCACAGAGGAAATCTGTCGCCGAGTAAAGATTTAGATTAATGCTTCTACAACTGGTATTTGCATCAGTCACTCTAAATGGACCCCACATAAACCTCTGTTTAGAATACCTAGGGATGTATGCTTTGGTTTACTTGTTTCTTGACAATACATTTTTAGATCTGGCCTTTTCTTAACAAAATCTGTGCAAAAGATGCATGCAGGTGGATGTCCCTAGGTCTGTTTTCAAAGAATTTTCTTCAAGTGCTTATTTTGTTTATTAAGTGTCTACCTGGTAAATGTTTTTTTTTGTAAACTCTGAGTGGACTGTATCATTTGCTATTCTAAACCATCTTACACTTAAGTTAAATAGTTTCTCTTCAGCTGTAAATATCAGGATACAGAATTAACAAGAGAAAATGTCAAACTTTTTAAGAAAAACCTTGTTTTCTTTGGTTTTTGAAAAACATAATGGAAATAAAACAGGATATTGATGTAATAGCACAAAATGACACTCTTATAAAACTAAATGGGCACAAGAGAAATTTCCTGGGAAAGTTCACATCAAAAAGAGTGAATGTGGTATATTTCTAAATGAAATGGAAAATAGAGACAGATTTGTCCTTCACAGAAATAGTAGAGTATGAATAAAAACTTCACATCCAAGAAATATATAACGAGAGGTATAATTTTTTTAATTAAGACAAAGGTAATACATTGGATACAAAGACACGAAAAATGTATTGTGCATTCAATTATTTTGCTGTCTCGAGATTTAATATTCTTTCCAAGAGCTTTTAATGAAGCAGAGAGCTAGTACTTCATTTTCATTGGAGGCATTTTCTGCATCAGGAGTTGTCACAGCCTCTGAGCCCCTGAACCCCTGATTTTAAGCCAGAAGGGCTGAGTGTATTGTAAACTTATTCTTGCATGTTGCTGTCTGGGAATGGACCACACTACAGCTGGTAGTTCTGGGGGTGATACTGCCCAAAGGCCTGAACACATGTTATTTTGGCTGCAATTGAGGAACTCGGGATGCTATTAAGTTTGTATTTCAGCAACTGCCCCTTCTCCAAACCCAAAGCACCAATTACTGCCCTCTGCCTCAGCATTACCAGTATAAGACGACATTCCAAAGATTGCAGGCAACTCAGCCTGAGTTAATTCGCAAAATTGTGCCATGCCGGGGCTTGAGCTTCGGCTTAGACTTGGGCTCAGCTTTTGACCCTCAGGCATCTCCTTTCCTTTCCTGCCTTCCTCTTCCTTATCCTCCACTGCAGCATGATTTTCTTAATCTTCATACACTCACTATTTTCACGAACAGTTACCCTCTGGCCCCACAACCAAAGACAACTCATGGCCTCCCTTGGCCCTTGCATAACATTGCGTGGCGGCTCACACCTGTAATTCCAGCATTTTGGGAGGCTGAGGCGGGCGGATCACCTGAGTTCAGGAGTTCAAGAGGAGCCTGACCAACATGGAGAAACTCTGTCTCTACTAAAAAACACACAAAAAAATTAGCCGGGCGTGGTGGCGGGCTCCCGTAATCCCAGGCAGGAGAATTGCTTGAACCTGGGAGGCGGAGGTTGCTGTGAGCCGAGATCGCGCCATTGCACTCCAGCCTGGGCAACAAGAGCGAAACTCAGCCTCAAATTTAAAAAATAATAATAAAAAAACCCAAACTGTTGTGAAAACTGCAGTTTACCCCAAATTTAGTCCACAGCCTCCACAGAATTAATTAAGAGTTAAAGGCAAATGAAAAATCTCAAAGGTTAGCCATTTGAGCAAGTAACCTTAACTTATTCTATTTTTTCAGAAAAATAGTTTGGATTTAGCTGTCCTTTTACAAACAAGTGAGTTTGAATCTCTATGTTTTACAGTGTTATGACTAAATTTTTTAAAGTGGAAAACCCTGTGATCTTTGCTTGTGTGTGTATTTATGTTTGCATGTTTTGTGTATGTAATAATTTTCTTCCAAGATATGTGAAAGAGCTCTATTTAATTGGCTTACAAGATATGTGAAAGGGCTCTATTTAATTGGCTTAAAGGGTCAACAAAGCAAACGTAAAAGAGTCTTTTGACTATTCTTGCTGTACTTGTATAAATAATCAGGCTTTGTTTGATGAGGTTAAATTTATTCTGCAAACAAGCCTTATCTTGGTAAAAACTGGAATGACTAGAGGAGAAAATTTATGATTAAGAAAGGAAAACTATACTTCATCTGTTATTAGATTGCAGCCCTATGCATTGCTTTTGAGTTTATTATTATTTATCTACAACCTGAACTAAATTTTCAATTCTTCTAGGTTCGTCCAACCCAATTTTCTGGCCTGGAATTGCTAAAATAAAAATCTGCTCTGTTCCTGAAGCTCTATACACTAAAGCTACACAACTCAATGTAAATTTCAAGGGATGAGTCTCATGTCTCATGTTTGGGCCACACAGAAAGTTCACCAAACCACTCAATGCCATACCCAAAGACATTTAGTGTGTAAACCAGTATGAGAAGTTAATGGTTTCATGCCATGGACAGCTTTTTCTAAGAATGATAGAACAATACTTACAAAAATGAGACTATTATCCTTCTTAAATTTTCTTTGCTTGTGCCTTCTTTTTCATTTGACAGGATAATGCCATAGTTATAATTTCATAATCATCAGCTTCTGTGGGTACCTGATGGAATGTTGGATCTGTCATGCCAATCCCAAATCTTTACATGATCTAAGAGATGCTTTCTTCCATGTAGTGAATAACTTTGGCAATATTCTTAACACAATTTTTTGTTCAAATTGTACCAGTGATCCCTTTTACAGAGTTAGCACTCTTGGCTTTAATTTAACCAAGTCATCAGATACTAAATAATAGAATCACTAACCAAACTATGTAAAAGACTCAATGCCTATAACAAATCTTACCCAGTCCCACATGGTCTTTCAATTTGTTTAATTGAGCTCTTGGTTCAGAACCATCGTTCAAAATGAATTTGTTATGCTCCTGTTGGTTTTGCTTTGCATGATTTTCTTTAAGCTTTGTACCTGTTACCTGTCTGACTTCTGCAGAAATGACACTCCTAAGATAATAATGCTGGCTTAGCATTTAAAGGATATGCCAAAAATGTGGAATTGAAAAAATTGACTTCATAATGAATTCCAGGGAGAATTAGCCTGAAACCCACTCCTTCCAAACATCCTTGTTGCTCAAATGTGGCTAAAAGTGTTTTGAAACTGACTCCCAGTCACCAATCACTTGGGACCGACTTGGGAACAAACCAACCAAATCAAGTGCATCCAAGCACTGAGGAACACATAATGCATAACTACAGGATGATTGAGCAGAGATGCTTTCAGAGAAAGATCTTGATCAAAGGGGGAACTGCAAAAGTTGTCAGAAGCAAAATGGAGTCACTTATGCCAAACCCTAACAAAATGGAGTCAGGAGTTCATGAAGGAAGGGCTTTCCTGTACACTTTCTTGTGGTGGAAATTGCCATTAGGACATTGCCAAACTACAACCTTGCAACAAAGGCTACTTCTGTACTTCCAGTAATAGCCAGTCCTAACCACAATCTTGCAAGTGGCCTTACTTGCTGCCATCAGGGTCCCTGCAGTCAGGGTTCTCTCCATAAAACTCTCTCAAGCAGCAGCCAATGCACATGTCCTCACTTGCAATATGATCCTGTAAACCAGTGAACTTTCATTTTACATTAACTGGCATATATGTCTCCTTTTTGTCTTTAAAAGTTTCTCACTGCCTTAACATTTCCAGACGAACTTATGATTTGTTATATGCATTTCCAGAATTTACAAATCCCCTACTTATTCCTGAATATATTCATTTCTTTGGAGAGTGACTATCTGTTGTTATTTTGAGTTGACAGAGGAACTCAAGATATGGTAGTCAAATCGTTCATTTCCTGAATGATGAAAATGAAGAGTAGAAATAGTAACTGATTGGCTTAGTTAGAAAGACATACAAACTACACTTTAACATCAGGCTTCTAACTGGTAGCTTGGTGCTGTATAAGCCACACTGAGTTCCTGACACTACAGCCTCATGTAAAAGAGAGAAATTATAACCAATAGTGACCTTAATTACAAAAAATAGAGAAATTAGAATATCCAATATGTATTGAAACATTCATTTTATCTTAAAGTTCTGTGGAAACTTGCTATTACTACATAAACATTTTAGTAAATATTTAATAATGCATCATTATTTAATTTTTTATTAATACCTTATTTATATATGAAATGTGAAGATAAAGGCAAAGTGGGAAGAGTCAGTTGACTCTAATCCTCCAGAGTGAATGTAAAGAGTATGCTAATGAATTCAAAGTTAGCTATCAATATTTATCTCCAACACTAACTTTCTTTCATCTCATCTTCAAACTGGATACTGACTGTGTAACTGGACAGATAGGGCTCATCCATGCTTTGCTGGTGCCACTCACCTTTGTTCTTCCCAGCCAGCTTGTTCATCAGGTAGGATTTGCCTGTGCGGTAGAGGCCCACAATTGACACCACTGCTACAGGCTGTGTAATGGCAGACAGAATCTCCAGAGCTTCTGGATTTACCACCAGATGCCCTTTAGTGTTTTCAATGAGGCATACTGGGCCTGGCATGTGGATCTCTGATGCCATGTTCGGACCGTTCCTTTGTCTGCAAGGAAAAAATGAAGCAGAAAGTAACGTCTGGTCAGTCAATTGAGCTGAATTCTACAATAGGGCATAAATTTTTGTTTATTATTCTTGAACATTGTTTCTTGTGCATTTCTAAGAAGACCTGTGGCCCTTTAAGGTTGTCCTATAGACAGGGCCACTGGTTGCCTTTTAAAATAACTTAATTTTGAAACAGACTTATAGAAAAGATGCATGATAGGTATGAAGAGTGCCCATATACCATTTCCCTGGCTTCCCCTAATGTTAATATTTTACATAACCATAGAGCAATTACTGAAACCAGGATTTTAACATTGATACAATGATAACTAATTTACACTCCTTATTGACATTTCACCAGTTTCCCACTAATGTCCTTCTGCTTCACGATCCAATCCAGGATCCCTCATTGCATTTAGTCATTATGTTTCTGTA